TGAAGGACATTGGGGGCCATCTCCTTTTTGCCGCAGTCTTCACTGAGCCCCTGCTAGAAGGGGAAGGCCAACGGTTGCGTACGCCCCATCCACGTTCCTTGGAAAGCCTTCAGTTGAACAGGATGAGTCCCACTGTTGAATCTACGCTGTAGGAAGCAATAGCACATCCTCCCTTTGGGATGGGACTCCCTCTGAATTTTTCATTTTTATACACAACTTCACCACCTGAGATGAGAAAAATCATTTCTCTGTCGGGTGTGAAAAAGAACTGCACTGTCAGCACTTTTTCCCTAGGTGGCTCATCTGAAGGCATCTGTTTATTTACCAGAGTGCTTTTTCACTGGAGTGTTAAGTAAAAATAGGGGAATTGAACACTTCTCCGGCACTGTTTAAGCAACATCTCCGTACCTGAGACACCACATGTTTCTCTAAGGCTCATTAAGCAACACCAACCTCTCTTCGCTGGTCCCGGAGAAAATGATGCTGTCACCAAGCCTGCAGCGCACCGGCTCAGATCCCGCTTGTAAAAGCATTGGCAGAGGGGGTTTGTCTCACCCACCGTGAGTAATGATGGTAAAATAACATTGAAATGCCACTCGATCGTAAAATGACATTGAAACGTCACCCCAATTCCCTCGTCTCCATGCCACGCTTTGGCTGCGCATCCCAAAGAGAAAAGAATCCCGCTTGGCTAACGTAGGAAAAGAGGGGAACTGGAGTTCAAAAATGATATCGCTCATTAATTTTCCTGGCTGGAGATAACTTCTTTATGCCAGGTAGGGGTTTTTTAAGCAACATCACCATTTTGTTTCAAATCTCTCTTAAACGACTTCTGAGTCACCGCGATAAATACTCCCTGTGCTTTCTTTCTGCTTCAGATCCCTTATAACTGCTGATGGATAAATTGCTCGAGTTACTTGGGATAAATCACGCGGGATAGCCAAATCTGTAATTAAAATGTCTCTCAACCCCTCTGTTAACTCTGGCTTAGCCAGACCAGAGGTATTGTGGCTGCAGGGAATAACCCACTTGGGACTGGGCTCCGAAAAATGGATCCTGGGAGGGAGAAATTGGCTCTGAAAGTGCCAACTCCACGCAGTCCCCTTGGGAATATTACTTGGGATAAATCACGCGGGATAGCCAAATCTGTAATTAAAATGTCTCTCAACCCCTCTGTTAACTCTGGCTTAGCCAGACCAGAGGTATTGTGGCTGCAGGGAATAACCCACTTGGGACTGGGCTCCGAAAAATGGATCCTGGGAGGGAGAAATTGGCTCTGAAAGTGCCAACTCCACGCAGTCCCCTTGGGAATACCATGGTACTCTTCACCCCCCATCAAAAGGATTTGGGTACCAGGATCGATGGCACAAGTGGAGAGTTTTTCAAGGCCTTTTTTTTCTGAAAAGGAGCTTTTGAGCATGCCAGCGCTTTGCATTGGCTCCGACTTGCCCATGGAAAGCAAATTCCCCGAGCAGAGCTGCACAGAGCTGGGTGGTTTCTCCATCCCAGTTGTTGCACTGGGATGAAACAAAAGGAAAATAAAATAAAAACTGGTTGCTCACAACAAATCCTGGATTTTTAGACCAATTTAAATCTTTTGGGGATGTTGCTTCCCAGGAAAAGCTACGAGCAGAGGTAGAAAGTGATTTTTAAAATACTCCCTCCCTAAGATGAGTTCTCCCCGAAGCTCAGAGCCCCGGGCTTGAGGCTTTGCTCCTTGCCTTCATCAGCTGAGCAGCATGAAGATCCAGCCCTAGGGCTGTTTCTGGGCTCTGCTTTCCCTGGGAAAGTCAGATATTACATTTGCAGCAGCCTTAAAATCAGAAAGCAGCTCAGCCGCGTTGTTCTAAGCTGTCCAGCTGAATTTGGGTCTGTGCTGGCAATTTTGAGGCCAAGAATTAGGTATTTGGGGGCAGTGGAGGAGCCGGATCCTGCTCATCCTGATGAAAGGCACATCACCCCATGGAAACAAGCCCATGTAGAAAACGGTGCTTCTTGCAAATCCTTCATCTCTGGAAAACAACACTGACCCACACAGCAGGGCAGGGGCACCCACGGGTGCTGGGCAGTTCTTGGGTCCAGCCCACCTCGCAGGGTTTCCAGATCATCGCTGCTGCCTGCAGGGACATGGCCCCACCTGTGAACCGAGGCAGGACAAAGGGACAATAGGGACAGGCAGCAACACTGCCCCAGCACTGCAGGGGTATCATCCATCCCATCCCATCGTCCATCATCCGGAACATGCAGTCCTCGGAGGGAGGCAGCAAGAGAGGCTCAGCATCTCTATCCTCCCCTCCCTCCAGAATTAGGTCAATAGAAGATGCAGGAGCCCTTTATTTATTATTGATGGGGAGAATCAAGCCACCATCGATCGGCGCTGGGAAGAGACTCACCCCGGCGCTTTCTGAAATAATCTGCCAAATGCAATTTTTTTGTTGTTTTTTACCCATCGAGGGTGTTTGGATGAACTCAGAGCCTTGCCTGCTCCCGGGAGGGATGAGAGCAAACACGAGCAAGCTTCAGCAGCTAAGCTGCTGCCAGCTCTCAGTGTCGGGTCCTTTGCACTCTGCATCCCTGTTAAATCCCACTTTCTCAGCTGCCAGGTTCGCTGTTATCCAGGAGCAGGTGGAGAAGGATGTTGGGGCTTTTGGGGAATGGAAAAAACCCCGCAGAATCACAGCATCACAGCCGACCAGCCTCGTCCCTGCCTGGGTCTCATCCACAGCACCCGTAAACCATCACGTTGGATTAAGGAGACCTTGACGAAGATGGATAGTTTCCCCCCCAAAAAAGACCTATCACCTGGACACCCCCAAAAGTAGGATGGCACATGGGAACAAGGGAGACAACTAAGCTCCTCTGGGGGTGCTTTAACCCACGTCAAAGCAGAGCACATTCTCCCGGTACCAGTGGTGAGCAGCTCAGTCCCGAGCAGAAGCTCACAGTTCGGGACAGCTCATCAGCCTGAGCCACCTAAGCAATATTTTCTATTTTCCCTGGGCTGCCAGAGCTTAATTATGATTTTCTCCCTTGCCACCCTCAAGATCTCCCTTCCCTGCATGGCCCAGACTACATTTTGCCAAACAAAAAACAAACCAAAAAAAAAACCCCTCAAATCTGCCCAAAGAAATGCCCCAGAAAGCTCCCAGCTGGAGGAGACATCCCCAGGGATGCTGGCACCATCTCAGGACCTTTAAAGATGTCCTGGATGTGGGGACAACTCATCCCGTTGCCCATCAAGGAGCTGGGGGGTGTGTGTGGGGGGTAATAGCTTAATTTCCCCAGCCCACCACATCTGGGTGCTAAATAATACTAATAGTACCTCCTGCACCTCCTTAAAAATTGCACCAGCACATAATTCAGGGGGTAGATCAAAACCCCTAAATGAAATCACCATCCATCCTCTTCCTAATCCGAGTTTGATACCAGCACGCTTTCCCTTGTCTCGCTTCTAGAAATATTTTTCTATTGAAATGCAGAGCCTGGCTTCATGCCCGGGGAAGGAGAGCTAAAAATAATCCTCCATGGGCGATTTAGGAAGGTCCTTTCCCCGTTGGTCCCCGTCAGACCCTGCTCACATCCCATCGATGGGATTAACCATCCCGAATTTCAGAGCGATCTCAGACAGATGGTGATGTCCCTTTGGGATTTTGCTCTTCATTCTGCTGCTGGAGGTATTAAAATATGGAAAATTAAAACATGGAAAGCATCTCCCCATTGCTGGAGTTTTCTCCCCATGTCAGGTGATGGGTGAGGGTGGCACGGTGCGAGGTGCCACAGTGGCAGCAGGGAACCAAGGGACAGATGGGGCTGGGCTGAAAGGAGGACACAAATGTTTTGCTCTGGGAATTTCAATATTTAAACTTAATTATGGCCAAAGCTGCATCCCAGACACCATGCTGAGCCCTCAAAGCATTGTCCAAAACAACCCCCGAATTTATTTGTCAAGGCACAAAAATCCCTTCAGATTCTGGATTTTAAATAACAACAAAAACCAGCAGAAGAGCTATCGAGGGGCACAGCGGGGACTTCTCCACCCACCAGAGCGGGACCACGGACACACTACCTTCTCCACCCTGGCAGTTTGGGTGCCCCATGCAGGTACCCAGCAGTGGAGGAAGGACCCCCAGGACACACATGGGGGCAAAGTCCCCTGATCCCACGGGAAACACAAAGACTTGACCCCACATACCAGCCAGGTTCATCCCCACTAGTGCTTTAGCCCCCAAAGCATCGGCTTTGTCACCCCAGGAAGGACAGGGGGGCTTCACCTGGCCGGCAGGTTTCCCCCCCAAGCCCTGCCTTTTGACCTCCCTTCAAAAAATCCCCTGGGTTAATTCAAGGCAGGGAATAACTGCCTCAATGGGATTTTGCATTTAAGGCAAAAATAAAAGTCCAGTGGGAACCACAGTGGTACAACATGAAAAAATAATCATCTCCATATGTCCCCGGAGCGGTGCATCCATCAGGGCTGAGAGCACCAGCTCTGTCCCCCTGTGCCTCGGGGTCCCACAGGTCCCTTCCATCTTCCTGGAGCCTCTGGGGCTCCATCAAGCACTCCCAGGGACCACACCGAGCCCATCACAAGGCCTCTGGGCTTGGAAAGGGCACTGAAATTTGCCCTGGAAGGCACCTGGAAGGCAGCTGGCTCAGCCACAGCCAAGCAGGAGCAGGCACAGAGGGTGCTGGGGAGAATGGTCGACGCTGGTTGCTCTCAGCCCCACGTGGGGACGGACAGGGAAGAGCCTCCACCCCACATATACTGTCCCCAGGAAGGATGCACCGGTCTTAGGGGCTCACCGGGGATAAAGAGATGCAGCTTCTCTCCAGCCCCAGGGCACCCCGAAGACATGGCCGGGGAAGGAGAAGGGTGATGGGGTAAAAGATGAGGGGTGGCAAGAGGTCCATGCCCTCCCCAGGGGACCTGGAGCTCATCCCTGCTGGAGACATCTCAGGTGGTCCAGGGCACAGGGTGCTGCCTGGGGGTGTCCCAGCTCCTGTTAATCAATTTCTTGCTCATTATCTAGGGAGAAAAAAAAAAAAGACCAAATAAAAGATGGCAAAGACATTAAAAAATAATAATAATCCACAGGTCCGAATTAATTAGTTAATTTTGTTGCTGGTTCTCCTTGCCCTGGAAAACTGGGATCACCCCGCAATCCTCCCCACTCCCAGGCTGATGCCAGCTTTGGGCAAATATGACCAGGTGTATTTAGGCGTTTTTATCCCTCCATCCGTCCTCCCAGCTAGAAAAAAACTCTGCAGCCAGTAAACCCCGGGAGATGTTATTATTCAAGCTTCGTTTCTGCGAAAAAGCGGTCAAGGAGCAAGCAGGAGATGTCTCGCACATGGGGTTAAGCAAACAGACTGCATCAGGGATGAAAAGCCAAGGGGCCGGGAAGCCAAGCACAGTCTGTGGCGGCTTGCAAGGGGGAGATAAGGGCAGTGAGGAGGGAAAAAAAAAAAGGGGAAAAGCAGAGTCAGTTGATGCTTCGCTAAAGGTGTGAAGGGGAAAGGAGAAAAGGCTTTTATAAACCTATAAGGGTGGGGGGGAAAATGGCATTAGAGAAAAAACAGGGCTGTTAATAAAAGAGGAAGGGAGGGTTAAATTAGCAGCGATGCACCAGTGGTGGAGGTCAAGCCTCTGCCTTTAATAAGAAAGGAAATAAATTAAAAGATTGAGATCTTGGGATGAGGATGAGTTGGGGAGGAGCAGGGCTGACCAGCCACAGAAAGTGCTGGAGCCCATCACTGGGCTGGGCTGGGTGATGGGCTGTTGGAAGAAGATACTGAAAGGCAGAAACAGGAGCTGGAACTCCGGTTTTCATTAATTTCCACCAGAAACTCAGCACCAGGCTGCTGCTGGGGAATTCTGCATGGGGAGGGATGAAGCGCATGCTTCCCCCTCTGCAAGGTGAGAACCAACCCCATCGATTCCTCTCCTCTTAGCGAACCGATGGCAACACTCAAAAAAAGACCCCAATTCCTCGCAATGACCCAGGTAGGTGGGAGGAGGCTTTTCTCAGCCCCAAGATGCCCAAGAAAAGGAAGGATAAGAGAAGAAACGCCATGTTGAAGCCATTGGCCGCATCACTCCATCACTGCTGGGAAATATGAGCAGTGGCCAGAGCAAGTGCAGCCCAAATTGGAGTGGAAATGGGTGCTGGGAAATAATTGATCTGGGAAGATTTGATAGAAAACTGGGTAAAAAAGAAAAAAATTGAAAAAAAAAATTTAAATAGAGGCAGGGGCAGGGGAACAATGATGGATGATGGAGATGCAACAGATGCTTTACACTTAGATCTGAGCATCATCTCCAGTGTGCTAGGAAGAAATCTTTATCATGAGCCGCCAGGTCACGGTCCTACGCCGTTGCCTGGCAAACGCACTCACCGTCTTTGCTCTCTGTACTCTTCAGCAGCTGCAGAGCTGCAAAAAGCAAAACAGCACATGGTCAGTCCCCAGCATACAGGAGGGGGGTACTTGCAAAGGAACGCCTCCCTGGAGGAAACAGCTAAGAGCCCCATTTTGGGGAACCCACTCCAATAACTGCACCCACCAATTTCCATTGCAAACCAACCTCAGGTTCCTAAACCTCCCCAACAGTGAAGGAGCGGGTCCTGCGCCAGCAGATAAAGGCAATCACTGAGCATATAATTAACTCATTTGATGACAGCAGAGCACCATGACTGCTTTTTTATTAAGAGATAGGGTGGCTTATCAGGGAGCTGCCAGTCTGAGGGGGTGCATCGAAGAGTGTTCAAGCATGGGGGGGCTAAGCACCAGTGGAGGGTGCCCGGTGGGGTGTTTGCTTGTGTAGGGGACAGTGGTATGAGCGCACACTATAATGCACTCACGTATATAATAAGCAAGTATCATGCACCCACCTGTCTTGGGTTCTTCCCCCTCCTCGTCCTGCTCCTCTGTCCCTGCAAAAGAGCAAGTCAGAGCGTGTGAAGCATCTGCCAGGCTCCAGTCCAGTGCCCACCCTGAGCCCCACCGCCTCAGGCAGCCGGGTTTGGTGGATACCCCTTGGATTGCCACCGTCCCCAGCTGCTCAGAGCCACCCACGACCACCACACATCCCAGGGTCTGCTCAGGACCGGGCACTGCCAAGCCACTGGTGATGCTCAGGCAGGAGGTGACTGGTACCCACCAGCACTCCCCTCCAGCACCCTGTAGGGGGTATTTCCCCCAGCACAAGGTTGTGCCAGGGTGGCACATCCCCTACAAGCAAAGCAGAAAAAGTCACAGCTCCCGGCAACGCAACGCAGCCGCTCGCCTCCCTATTTATAGCACAGCCGCCATCTGGAGCGGCGCTCAGCAAGGGACTCAGCGGGGAGACGACGGATCCCCCAACACCTCCGGGATACCCCACCAGCACCGAGGGATGAGCATCCCCTTCCCCCTCCCGCAGCACCCACCGGGCTGCCAGGCTGTCACCCCATCCGGGAGCCTGGGCGCTTTGCACCCCATGTATAGGACCTGCTGCAATGCTATTCCTGGCCAGAAAGACCAGCAAAAATTGCTGCTCCTGCGTCCCGCGGCTGCCAGGCTCACAGGCAGGGTCTCTGCCTGGTTTCTAGTTGACCAAGAGCCACAGCAAAAGGTTATTGCTAAGGGCACGCAGCTGTCAGTGCAAAACATCGCGGGCTGGGAGCCGTGTCCTGATGCTAAAGGACTGAGGTCAGCTGGCCCAGGGCCACGCCTGAGCATCACGGCAATGCAAATCCCCTGGCCAAGGAGAAAATACTCTGTTACGGGGGGCGGGGGGAAATAAATACTTTTTCTTTTTTTTTTAATCTTTTTTTTAGATATACATCCTACAGACGATTCCCTGGGATCTGCCAGGGGAAAACCCTCTCAGTCCCCACTGCTGGGGACACCCGACAGCCAGGGATCATGGTGGCATCAGCACCGATGTCCTCAATGGTAGAGAGAGGAGGAGTGAAGCAGGAGCCCCCAGGGAGGGAGGCTGTGGGTCCCAGCCCCGCAGCACTGCAGGGAAAGGTTTTGGCAGAGCAAACACCTCGGGAGGCAGCAAGAGAAAACAAACAAGGAACGCCAGCAAGCTGCTTCTGCAGCCATTTTTGGAGCACAGCAGCTTTTTTAAAGCAACAATGTCTTCCTTTTTGTGCAAACACCTCTCCATAATAAAGAAAAGAAAAAAAAAACACCACAGGAGGAGGATTCAGAAAACAAGAGCTTGGAGCATCTCTTGTTATTTCCACATGTCAAAGTGCTTGGCATTTGGCATTTCCACGGTGGCAAGTGCTAGAGGCACCTTCTTGGAGGAGATGCTCCACGCATGCCCGGTTGTGAGTACCAGACATGCAGAGGATGCTCGGAGCAGGAAGCGAGGCCTGGAGCGATGCACACACCCAGCACAGATCTGGCGATGCCCACCAACCCCAGCAGCTCCGAGTATCCCTTCATCGTTTCAAAGATGCCACCACCAAGGCAAACCTACGCCCCCCTTCATCGTTTCAAAGATGCCACCACCAAGGCAAACCTATGCCCATTAAAATTTGCCCCAGCTCCCCCCATGCATCACCCTCCATCCTTCACCCTCTATCCATCACCCCCTGCAAATCCCATCCCTTTTGCGGGGTGTAACTGCCACATTACCTGCGTTTTCCTCCTCTTCCTCACAGCTCTGGCGGATTTTCTTCTGGCATACGTACGCCAAGACACCAAGCAACCCCACGACGCAGATGGCAAGTCCCACCGTCACCCAGAGAGCCACGGCAGGGAAGGCGAGGTGTTGGCCTTGCAGGGGGAGGAAAGAGAAATACCACCACGGTGAGCATCACCGCCTGACCTGGGGGATGCATGCTTGGCATCCAGGACCCCGCAGTGGCAGCGGCGCATCCCCACAGAGGGAGTTGGTGACACAAGGGGTGGCTTTGGAAGTAAAACCATCGGTGCCTCTAATTATGGCCTCCCCCAGCAGGTCTGGATCCGGCTGAGGAAGCAGCAGGTTGGGTCAGTCCCTAAAATACTTTGTTAACCTTTAAATAATCGCACTAATAAACTGAAATGGCAGGCTGACCCTTCACTTGCTAAGAAGCCCAAGAGAAGCATTAGATGTTGCTGCTCCCGCGCCCTTTCCCTTCTCATCTCACACCACGGGGCGAGGAAAGACGAGGACACCTTCCCCAGGGTCTGAGACCCCCTGACAGGGACAACCAGGGCTTGGGGGATGTCTCCCAGAGTGCTGGGAATTCAATTTTTCCCCATAATACTGCTCCTTTTTCAAATAAAGTCTTGCCCCAAACCCTGCCCCTCCTCAGATGTCATCTCAGAGCTGACCATTTGCTTGCATGCTTGGGAACCCACGCAAAAGCCACCCTTCTGTCCCCAAACAGCAGCATCCACGCAAGTTTTCCTGCAAGAGTCTGGTGCATCCAGCCAAAAAGTTTATGCTCCACCAGGGACCCACCTTCCCAAACCAGCAAATGTTGTACCAAGGGTAATTAAACACTAATTAATGCTACCGGAGAGCACACAAGGTTATAAAGAGCTCCAGGAGGGCAACGGGAGGAGCTCGGAGTGAAGCAGCGAGGCTGAACGTGCTTGATGAACTCCTCCTGCCTGTATTTCTGAAGTAGGATTGCTGCAGCTGGGACGGAGAACCTCAAATTGAGAGCATCCCATGGCCACATGCTAAGGAGAAGACAACTACCATGCCCTGTGCTGGCTATCTGGGGTGGTTTAGACTGGGACAGGGCAACTAGCAAAGCTAGAGACTAAGAACTAAGGATGCTGGTTTTAGGTGCGACATTGGTGTGGGGTGACAGGGGAGGACGGCACAGCCTCAAGTCACCCTTGTATGTCCATGGGGAGAGAGGTAGAGCAGAGATGTGGGGTAGCAACCCCCAGGGTGGCTCTGGGCCACAGTAGGAATCCCAGTGCCACTGCGGTCACCTTCTTCAGACAGAGGCCATCCCTTCCTTCCCCCAATTTTGGCTCTCACTGGCTCACCTGTGATGGTGACAGAAGCTTGGGCCTCCTGCTGCAGCACCGGGTTTCGCACCAGGCAGGAGTAGGTGCTGCTGGGCTCCACCAACACCTGGAGGACACTGTGCACGTCAAAGAGACCTTCTTCGTTGGCCACCTGGGATGTCGTGACATTTTCCGTGATGTTGCTGCCCTGGCTGTCCTGCCAGAGGACGCTGGCCTCAGGGTAGCCACGGGAAGCGTGGCAAGTCACAGCTGCCAGATCTCCTGGCTTCAAGTCCTTGTTGGGCTCCAGGTTCACATTGGGCTTGGAGTATGGAGCTGCAATGGAGAGGACAGTTGGCATGAGGCAATGGAGAAGACCAAAGGATCAGGATCTGGAGCAAGCCAATGAGGTTGGGTAAGCCCTAGGACAGACTCTTCCAGCTGAAAAGACCGACCAGCTGAAGCCTCCCTAGCTTTGGTTCATTTATGGCCATGCTTCCAGGTGGCCTCTCAACTGAGAGCCTCTCCATCATGGCAGGGAAGGGACCACATCCCCCACCAGCAATATTTTGTGGAGATGCAGCTGGTTGGTCTCTAACAGAGACCTGACTTCATGGGGAGACCACAGCAAGGGTGGAGAGACAAAGAGGTTCCACAGAGGAGCAAAGCATGATGGAGAACCCTTCTCTTTGGGGAGACACGTAGGGACATCGCAACTCTCCATCTCTCACCTGCCACCTGCAACGTCACAGCTGCGCTGCTGTAGTCCCGGACACGGACGAAACAGGTGAAGCTTCCCTCATCCGAGATCTCCACGCGTCGGAGGAGCAGTGAGACGTTGCCCTGGGCCAGCTGGTCATAGAAGAGGGACGTACGGTTGGTGTAGCCCCCACCCTGATCTACCAGCTGGTCCCGGCCACCGGAGAAGCTGTGGACCAAGCGCTGGGTGTCCGTTAGCTGCCAGATGAGGCTCAGGTCATCAAGGCTGAAGTTGGCCTCGGGGGAAAAGGAGCAGTGAAGGGTGGCATCTCGGCCGAAAAGAGCCACAATGGGCTCATCCGGGACCTGGATCTCCATGGCACCTGTGGGAGGGTGGTGAGGGCAAAAGCAGGCGGTGGTGAGACCCTGCAGAAGCACCTCCTTAATTCTCCATCTGGATAACATCTAAGCAAATTGAGGGATGCCCATGAGAGGGACCCGTGGGCAGGTGGCATCTCAGGACCATCCCCAGCACCGACCCCCAGCCAAGCCCACCCTGCCAGCAGGGAGACAGTCCCACATCCGATGCCAAACCTGGGGCACCACTGCCTTCAGCTGCGGCCACGGGCACCCAAACTTACACATCCCCCTGGGACGCACAGCCTGGTTTTTTCCCCACAGGGAGAGGAGGTTGGTGGGTGACAGCAGTGGGGACATAGTCCCGTGTCCCCAGGACGAGCCAGCTCCTGGCAGCGCGGTGGCCGGGCTGGCAGGCACTAGATGGCACCAGTGCTCCAGCGTGATGCCAACCGGCATGCCAGGGCACGATGCCAAATGCATCCCAGTGCCATGGCAAGATGCCAGCCACAACCCCAAGCCACGGCACGATGCCAACCCTGCCACTGCATCAGGGAGCAACGCCAACCGTGCCAGGGCTGCCGGACCCTCCGTGCTCAGAACTGCTCCTGGGGTGCCAGTTGGCAGCGGGCAGTGACATCCCCCAAAGCAGACCAAGGGCACCATCAGCGCTTCATTCACCAAGTCCCCCCAACCCCAAAACAGGGAGGAAAAGGGGAAAAATTTCACCTCAGACCAAGGATTTGCTTTATATTCCGACCTCAACACCACTGCAGAACACACCAAAGCTGTTACCTGCAGCAAATATCTCCCTGGGGACGAGGGCAGCAACAAGACATTAAATTTTAAGCAAGAGCCCGAGTTGGTAGGATGAGGAGTTGCAGGGAAGAGCCAGGCTGGAGGAGACCTGCCAGGGGCCGCAGACGGGCAGACAGGCAGGAGAAGAGCGCTCGGGCAGCCTGCCTGGCTCTTGGCAGGCTCGAGAGCATCACGTCTCCTTCTGGCTAATAATAAATGCCAGAAGGTTTTAGGAACATTACCCAGCCTGGCCGGAACCACTGCTGGCTGCTGAGCATCCTGAAAGGATTCGGTCCCAATGTCTCTCCCAAGTTGAGGTGCTGGGGGGCAAGGAGCTGCAGTGCATGGGGACAGACCCAGGTAGGTCAGAAACCTTCAGGATTTAGTCCTCCCATGGCTTTGCCATTCAGCTGTAGCACACAGGAGGTGGTGTCCCCTGCTACGAGGGTGGCCCACGTGCACCAGAAGCCATCACACCCACGGGGTGATGCCCTGGGCAGCTGGAGGACCACAAAACCAGGAGAAACACTTTGTAGGCGCTGCCACAAGGAACCACAGGTCAAAAGTAGCTTTGTCGGGGTGAACAGGGCACTCGGGACAACCCCTTCAGGGTGGCAACACGCAGACCACGCCAACCTCAAACCCCTCTGCAGCCCTGCTCACCTGCCAGGCTGAGCACCAACGCTCCCAGGGCAAACAGCAGGCAGAGCATCTTTGGCATGAGCAAAGCCTGGGTAAGAAAGCAGAAGCGAGCACGGCCCTGGGCGTCCTTCTCACGGGGAGTCTTCCCTCTCGCAGCAAGGGCCCTGAGCTGGGGAAAAATAGAAGAAAACACAAAGATGGTGCTGGGAACCAGGGGCAGAGAGCAGGAGACCGGCATCCCCCAGGCATCAGGATCCCGTGTCGGTCATCCTCTCCAGCTGCCCCGCAACCAGAGCACCCACCCCATTCTAAAACACAGGAGGGGATTTGCCTCCAGCCTGGCATCAGCCAAGGGACCAGTGCATCCCCTGCACCGGGGAGCTGATGGACCCGGAGGCAGCTCTTGTGCCGGAGGCGTTGGCCGGTGCCCCGGGGAAGCCACGTGAGCCTCTTCCCCTCCTCACTGCTTCTCCTCCCCTTTTGTTTCTTTCCCAGCTTTTTGCCGCAGCATTGGGCTGTTACATCCCTGTCCTCCAAGAGGAAGCAACTCGCTCCCAGTGTCCAAAACAGCTAAAAACTAAACATAAGAGGTTTGCAGATTCCTGGCTCCACCAGTGGCTCATGGGCTGTGAGGTTCATCCCTGCTCGCAACAGGAAAGTCTGCGGCACAAAGTTGCCCCGAAAAATGGGGAATAAAATCAGAGCATCTCAGAGCTGGATGTGGGGAGAGGCAAGGGCAAGCTGCCCAACACCGCTGGCTACCATGGCTCGCTTCCCGAGCATCCCTCCCCAGCTGTGCCAAGAGCTCGCCAGGCCCCTCGTGACCCGCATTCCTCCCCTGTAGCATAAATGAGCCCCAGATATCACGGCCAGCTCTGCCGTTGCCATGTCCCATCCCTGTCTCAGCATATCCCAGAGCTGCGCTGCTCCACCCAGAGCCTTTAGCGCCGACGGTTTTTGGCGCAAGAGTCGTATTTGCAATAAATCAGGGTCGCAGCACTGGTTTCCCAGGGTGCAGCAAGAACAGCTTTGGCCGTCAGCACCTTCCTCCTTTAACTGGGGAAATGGCAGCCCCAAAGCTCTGCTCAGATCAGCTCCCACCGAGGGGGGGGGGAAACTGAGGCACAGGGTGGGGGGGAACTGAAGCACAGCTCTGCCCCAAGAGCTCTGCGGCAGCATCCCGTTTCCTTCCCTCCCACGCACAAGGCTCCTTTGGGGAAAACAAATTATTCAGCTTTTTTCCTTAAACCATATCCCTGACTCTTGCCTTTTCCCAAGCAGCCAAGCCTGGAGCCAGCCCCGTGCCAAACCCCAGGCAGCCAGGAAGGGAGGGAGCCGTGGTGGGAGAGGGTGACGGGGCATCGCTCAGCTGCCTGGGCAAGGGAAACCATGTCTCATCTCCCTCATGCTCACCCTTGGAGCTCTTTCCTTTTCCTGGTGATACTAAAAAAAAATTGTATTTTAGAGGTTTCGTGACCTACAAGTCCTGCCGGACCATCTCAGAGGTGTCACAGGAAGGGGACACCCATGTCCCAAACCCTCCTTCTCCAGTCGGGAGTCTTTCAGTGGGTCTCTCACCTTTCTGTGACTCAGTTTCCCCAGCCCTGCGGTGTGGGTCCCAGCCGAAGGATGGACTCTGCCTCCGACCTCAGCTTTCGTCATAAATCAGGATATAACAAACCCCATGAACACATCCCCTGAAGAGGGTCACCCTCATGCACTTGCAAGCCAGGAAGGCTGAACCCTCCAGAAACCCAAGGAATAATTAAATCCCCCGTTGCAGTGGGACCCTGGGGACCATACGTCACCCATTCTCCATTTAATATTTACCATCACACTGCCAAAATGCTGCTTTTTTATAATATTTTTTATAATATTCAGATTATTAACTGCCAGATTATGACCCTGAGGTATGGCCGGAGGTATAAAGAAAACATCTGCTGGTTGGGAGAAGTTCTCACCCACCAGTCTGGGTCGGTCCCAGCTTTTGCAGGTGCCTGGGCTGAGCCCCCCGCTTTGCTCCTCTCCTACCTGGGGTTTGTGCTTGTTTGTGCCAATGAAGACCCCAGCTCTGCTCCAGCCTATTTTTAGTCCCCGCTTAACTTCTCAGTGCGCAGCAGAGTCTCTCCGCTTGCAAGGCAGGACCCCGCGGGGAAGCGGGGCATGGCCTGCAAAGGAGGGGTAGAAAAGTGGGGTGCAACCCCCAAAACCCGGGTGGGTATTTGGGTGCGGTATTTGGCGGTGGAAAGGAAGGGACGGGTTATCTGTTTGCT